AAATCTCTAAAGTGATTTGCTTTCATTTCTTCCCAAGACATCCTTTCTTCCACCATTGTTAAAAAAGGTGGGAAAAACACAATAGTGGTGTGGCAGCTATGAGTTTAACTTTGATTAGAATATACAGTACATGTCTTCAGCATGTTTCTTGTCAATCTACATATCAGATTAAGAGGAGTTATACAGTAAAGAATGAAGGCAATTAAGGGGACAACAAAGTCAAAATTGTTATTTTTGTTTTACAGTTAAGGAATTTGTATTCCCATTAGGAGATTAATACAAATGACAAGCTCAATTATAATATACCCTTTTTTGTGGTAATACCATGAATACATTTGATCATATTAGGAAAAAAAAAACTCTGAAGTTAGTACAAAGTATGTGTGAGCTCAGTGGGTTGCAGACTTCATGCAGTTATTGCCTGAAAGGGATATGCAACCAAATACAGTACTGACTTTCACACTCTGAAATTTGCTTAAAGTGAAGAGGGCATTTATTAATAAACAATTAATAATTAGAATGCAATACAACAAACCAAAAATTAATGTATTATATACTTCACATTTACAGTGTACCTAAACTGCCTTGCTTTAAAGCAAAAATAACAGCTTTAACTGTCTTGTCCTTCCCAATATTTACTGAGGGCAGAATGTATGACAGCAGATTTTAGGGTGTAAGAACACAATTCGTAGATACAGAGCAATTCAACCCTATTGCTAAGCACCACTCCATTATTCTCATATATTACAATGAAACAAGAACTAAACTTATTTGACTGAACTGACTAAAATCAACCAAGCCAGGGATACAATAATTTATCTCTAGCTGTGGATGATCAAATTGACATTTTTCTACTGTATATAGCAATAAATGGAAGCAAACTCAAGCAACAGCTTTATAACAATTTGTTATTATTTTAAAAACCTATGATATTTAGGGTTTCAAAAGCATTTCTGTCATTAAAATTATTTTTCTAATTTCTAGAATTGCTCAAGTGATCTTAACTTACAAAAATCAAAACAAGTCTGCAATCTAAACCAGGAATACTGCATATAAATTAATAACATTAAAACATCAGATCTCCACCAACTACCATTCTGCAGACATTTTCTTAACTGGATTTTAACTAAGACATCCTGTATTTAATGATCTAAATCTGGGATCTCTCTAAATTGCTCGTCTATTTGCCTTATGTAGAACTGTAAAAAGATATGCAAGTACAACCTCGGGAAATATCAATTAATGATGTATAAAAGTTAATCACTTCTTAGTTTACAAGCTGCTGCATATTCCAAATGCTCCCCACATGCAGCTCAACCCCAGGACATGCAAGATGCAGGGTACTTGAAATGTAATAATAATTAAAAGCAAAAGCAAAAGCAAAAGCCTCTATTACAGATCAACGATTCTGGAAAGCACATCCTTTCCTGTACAAATTTCCCATTATGGTAACACAGAAAGAAACACAAGATCTCCTTTCAAAGGAGAGTCAAAACCACATCATGTGGATCCTGAATGTCAAAAACTATTCATAACCATTAATAAATTATGTTTTTTTTTAAAGAATACATTGAAAAAAAAGGTAAAACTTTAAATAAAGGAAAAACAATTAGCAAAATATTAACTTTACCTGCTATTCCTATATTGGGGAATATTTGTACTGGCATTTAGGTTTTTTGAACATCAATAAAGTGCAGTGCTATTTGCAAGGAATATCCTTTAATGTAAATCGTGGTAATGTGTATTATTTCTGCGACTTCGTATGAACATATTATAGTTCAGGTTATTCTGTTGAATTTGAGTGCTTAGAAAGTTATAAATATCAATTTAGAGCCCATTTCTTTCTCTAGTGTTTTAAAAATTAATGATGATGTACTGTAAGTTTCTTATATAAACTGAAGCCAATGAATTGCAGGCTACAATTGAAAACTAAATTTAGTTACTAGCCATGAACAAAGAGTTTGTAACAAAAACAGCTGAAAACATGTCATCTAGAAATATTAGATGACTATTAGATGACTGGCTTTTATAAAGAACATTTCTATTTCCAGGTTTTCCTTAAAATTAATATAGATTTTCTTCTCTAAAATTAACCAGTATTAATATTAATTTGTAATTAATAGAGCAATTAGTTTTTCAAAGAACATACCAATTTATTACAAGTCTTACATTTTATTCAAATATCTTATACATTACTTAGATGTATTTTATGTACTTATGCCACTACATCCGTGATATACTAATAAGTCAGACAGCAATTCCACAGTAATAGACAGCAATTCCACAGTAATAAAGTGAAGCATGTATAAACATACATACTGTATAGCAATAAAGACATAAGAATATGCCACTTGGAGGCTACAGATACACTGACAATTTTCTTACTTTCTATTTAAGCTTATGGAGTTGTCGAATATGTCAATCTGTCTGTGAACAAATATGTTACTCAAGATCACATCAGTACAATTTTTTATAAGAAGAGAGCAAAGAGTGTTGCCCCCATGTGGAATACTGCTTTTAAATTAAAAAATTAAATGAGACGTTCTCATTCCAAGTCTATCTTTGATAAATATAACCCTTCTTGGCAGTTAAGTGTTACGAAATCACAGCCATACTGTACCTTTGCTAACTCTATAAAAGGTAATTTAATATATTGTCCATTTTTCACCCACTGCAAATGGCAAATGGTCTAAAAAGCATCCCCTAAAACAGTTCTTGGAGGTTTTAATAAATGCTGGCTGAACTACTTCCTAGTTTCATACTGTACACAAATTAAATTTATATTTGGTATATAAATATAAGTCCTAATGATACTATCAGAAATAGAAATTATCTTAAATACTGGAAAATCCTTCATTTATTATGTGATAGTTTGAATTGCTGCCGATAATTTGTACTACAAATTCTATTGTAAAAACACATTTAAAATTATTTTTATGTAAACATATTACATTTCTATGTCAGGGAAAGGAAAGCATGAAACATCCTTCCACTTTCTAACCACTTTGTCCAATACAGAATCTATCCATAAATTTTGTACAACATTACTGCATCAGTTTTCAAAAGCAACACAATTCATGCAACATATTACATTAACCTGATAAGAGATACTATCAGATATGGAACAAAATGTAGTTCAGAGCCATACTTGAATTGTGAGTATAATTGTTTTTTTACATTATGGTAGACTGCCACTGTCATTACAGTATAATAGTTACAGAAAATGTTTGGCCATTTTCCGTTATACATACAGTATAATGAAGGCACTGTGCTATTGCTCTCCAGATTTAACACTAAATAAAACTTTTGTTTGGTTTAAGAAAATAACTAAAATTAATGTGGTACAGGTTAATTCGGTCAGCCATTAAAAACTGCACTTCGATTTCAGACATTTGCGCACAAAACTTTCAGCCATTTATCTCTTAATGTTTTTGCTAGGTCATAAATATTGCAGTTTATATTTTTTTGAGTTTAGCGTTTTCTTTAAACGAAAAATTTTGATCAAAAACACCACTGTGTAGAATTGGTGAGATGTGTTCATACTGGGTTATTTTTACTTCTCTATTGTATTTTATCGTTTTTGAAAAAAATAAAATAAAACAATCACTAAAAAATAATTCAAAATACTTTCTTAAGTATAATGTTAACTGTTTTCTAAACTGGTCTGGTTTAACATTTTAACATATACCTGTAGTATATACCTTTAATTACTTATCAAATATCAATCATGTGGTTTAAAAATGCAATACAAATCTTGCTATACTAAAGACTGTAGTCTATGTATTGAACCTGAGATTGCAAGTTAATAAAAAGTATGGTTCTTCACACAGTGGAGAGATAAAAATAACAGATAACCAAAGTTTAGACCATATATTGAAGTGCTGAAAACACAAACATTGGCAGTTGCAGTAAAATGCCTAATCTGCTGTGATGGTTTTGATTAATCATGTTAGATTTTTATCATCAATGCTGGTTACAGTTTTTCCTTGTTTACTTCTGAACACAATGGTTAGATTCTGTCTCTGCTAGCAATTCAAGTACTAGGGTAGTCTGGAGTGAGAAGACTCTAGAAGAGGAGTGAACATTTAGCTTGTATCCCTCTTGTTGTTGTGGACGTTAGGGGCAGCTGCCTTATGTTTTTCTCATGTGTTACCTTACCTGCAGTTTTCTTTTGGGAATGGTATCGAGGTAGGAAAAATAATATGAAGGAAACAAAGGAAAGAAGAGGGGTAAATATGAGGCTCACGTACATGAGTTTGCTCATTTATATTCTTCTTATTTTGTCAAGATCCTATGAGGTTCAACAGGTGTAGTTTTGTTTCCACAAGTCCTACTTTACAGCAAAGATAAATTTTCTAATATTATTCATCTTCACCTTTCATCCGTCTTGTACCTTTGAAAGAGCAATGTATACAATAAATAGAATAATTCATGATTTGTCATTAAAAATGAAAGTTTCTTTCCTGGAGTTTGGAAATCTTTGGAAATTATACATAATGGACCTAAGATGGTCAGAAGTTTCTTCACCTCCTCTAGCTATGCTGAGAAACATGAATCCCAGTTTTCAGTACAGAGAATCACTAGCGGTTTAATTACACTATTTGAGAAGAGACATTTCTCATTAAGCTGAATATGAGCTCATTTCATCAGCTCTACACATGGTTCTGTGCCTGCACTTTTAGGGGGAATAACATACATTTTCCTCTACTTGTATTACATACATATCAAATTGTGATATGTAACAATGGATACATTAAGTTTCATATTACTTATATGTATTAAATGTGTAAAGAAATCAGAATAAAAAAAACAAATCACTTTCAACAATTAATCAATTAATTTCAACGCTGACAGAATTTTATCTTTACCAAAATGTTTCAATACTTCTTATGCTGTAGACGTAAGCTGCTGTTACTGTACCTGTGGTATAATATCTAGGTAAGCATAAAGTGTACAAGTTAAATGTAAATCATTAGATTTATTAGAAAAATTGCACTTACACTGCAATGTCTTGCTTGGTAAATCGTGGTTGTTTGTCATTGCCTTTCAAGGGTTGTGCCTTTCCACTTTGCTTTCCGCTTTCCACATTCCTGAAAATAAATTAAATGTGTTTACACCGAACATAACTGCATTATAATTTTACTTTATTATATACGGTACTATAAATTAAGTTTTATTATAAGGCATACCTTTATGAATAAGAAAAGTATAACATTCATACCTACAGTATAGCAATAGCATTTACTGTGTTAGTTTGAAGGTGGAAGTGACACTTGAAAGCCACATCTATTAAAGCACCCACTCAAATACTTTAAAATAGATACAGTTCAGTAACTATAAATCATTCAAACTGAGCTCCTGATCATAAAACATTCAGGGGTGACAACGTAGTAGAACAAATTAGTAAATTCCTGAGAAGAAAAGACATATTTGGAAGTACAATTGAACAGCCAACAAAATACAAAAGTATATAAATCAGGTGAAGAACTTTATGGAGTTGAAAAGCTTTGTCCCAAAAATAAAGTACACTGGAGGCATTTACACCAGAGTTATCATTAGAAGACATCAGAAAATATTTTAAACATTTGTGGTATGGCACAAATTAAAACACTTTCCTCACTTTTGTGCTAAATCCTCTACATTTCAACATGAAAGTGCACCTTTGTAATCAAATATCTAGTCTAGGCAGTGCACAGTTTGGGAAGAATGTGATGAGTTACCAATGCCATTATTTAAGCTAATGTAATGGCAAGCTGAATAAAGAATTGTTAGGCCAATTGTTCATCACAGTAATTTATTAAGTATAATTTTTAATTGGAAAAAATGAAATTCTGTTTTAATTACAGTTTGTGTAATCAAATCCATGATGTACTGACTTGCAGGACAACCAACTTACATGAAATAGAGAAAGCTACTGTAAATATGATTTAGTACTCAAAGGTAAAGTTAAAACATACAGATGCAGCCATTCAAAATGCACAGTAAAAGCCCATACTGTGCGAAATTATCTGCAGATAAGTGCGGAATACCGCAGTACATGATTGGCTGGCCAAAATGACCGACAGACTGCACTTTTGGTGCATTGGTTGTTAGTGAAACAATTGCTTCATTTAATCTCTTTACTGTGCATGTTTAAATCTGCTAAATATTGAATATTAGTATGGAATTTTACAACTAAAGGGAATTTTTGGTATCTGAGCATAAAAAGAAGAGGAGCATAACGTGTCTGAAGGTCATAAACGATATTAATTTAGGAATATAAACATATTAAGTAAGCTGTATATGGCTGGTATTGGTAGTTTAAATAAAAAATACACAGCAGTATTCCACTATCTTCATAAACATTTTAAGCATCAAACTATTTCATTTTACGTGCTCCTTTTTACTATATTAAGTTTATATCGCTTATAAAAAGTTATACCGTTTTAACCTCTGTATGAATTACAGTAAAGAAATGCATACTTTTTAGAATTTGATTAATAGGGAATATAATATGAAATTGCGTATCTAAAGACAATAATAATTTAAGGATTTAATTGTATTCATATAGCTCAAATTATTACCGTAGTACACTTTCTTTGTAAACATCTGTAAACATCATTCACCTGCGATTACATGGAAAACGTTTGCCTGTCCATTTCAGCAAGAGCTTAAATTATTTATTAATAACAACTAATAATTTCAAACTGCTTGTATTTTAAAATTGTATTTTGCTTGGGGTGATTTGTCACTGTTTTCACAACCTTCAATTTATTAAACATCTATTTTTGAGACAGGGTGTTCCACACCTCTGTTTAATTTCTGAAACTCCCTCTGTATTCTCTTTTTTAACCTTTTCTATGAATACTTACATTCGTTATTGCAATTAAAAATTTGAATTTGATTAATAGGGAATATAACAGGTGGGCCTGAGAGGAGGCGTGGAGTTCCCGCTCTGCAGCTTTGCCCTGAGCGTGTCCATCTCCCTTTAAAATTGAATAATGGAACATAAATCATTTCTTTTAACTTGAACTCTTTTAAATTATCATTTAACATAGCTTTCTCATCAATCAGTTTTATATTTGAAACCATTGTTAAACAAAGCAGTTGCTTATTGTACTTCCTAATGACATTACATCTGGGAAGATTATACATTTTAATTGCTTTTATTTTTAAAAATAAATTTTAGAAACGTTTCATCTACACAAATACCATAGATTATTTTCAATTGTATTTCTGGATGTTATGTCACACTTAGTTCAATTAGTAATCAATAATTAGTATTAAAATGTGCACTGTGATGAATTGTTGCACTTTTTCCACATCTTGTAAAAACATGAATTTACAAGACTTAGTTCAAATATACGTTTAAACTGATTATCAGAAAATAAGTAAAATACGTACCTATAAAATAAAAAATGAAGGTACAATATAATTTAAAATTAAATATGACAGGGTTCACTTTTTTTCTGTTTCTCCGTACTCTCTCTCACCCGCTGCGATTCGGACACAGAATGGTTAAAAATGGGGACAAGTCAGACAGGGAAAAGGGGAAGGGGTCTTCCCACCTCAATGACTAAAGAAAGTGTCAAAAAGGAATGGCTTAAGTGACATACAGAGCTGAAAAAGTTTGGCGCTGTCTTCTCGGCTTTAAAGGTACACTTCTTGTAGAAGAATTTTCACCTCGAACGTTTGCCCACCAGCTAACACGCAGAAACAAACTGAATACAAAATCTACTTGCAAGAATAGCGATTACAAACATTTTAAAATGTACGTGCTTTATACTGTTATACTGTACAGTGTATTAAAATTAACACTCTATGGGCACTACACTGTGAGTAATGCTGCCCACTAAATATTTCACGGGGGCAAGGTCAAGTAGCTGATTCACAGCTGGATACAATTTCATCTTGCCGCGTGAAAGCAAAAATTCAGACATTTGTCAACATATTTACTAAAATTATCCATCTCACTAATCACACTGTGTTAATCTCACTGTACACCCTGGTACTCACTCAATGTTCACACTCCCAGTAAATAAAAAAAAAAAAACGTTTTCCGCATTATAATCCCGCACCAGGGGGGAAGGAAAAGTGTCAGCGGTCATTTATTTCACTCTCCGTCACTCTGCCCAACCCCCCTGGACAGACAACGCTGATTAAAACTCATTCAAAAGGGTGTGGTGTGTTAACACAAACTCTGCTTAACAGAGCCACTTGTAAGAGCAAGGTGAATTTCTGCTCATAAAAATAAAGCTACAGTACAGACAGATTTTAAACTCTTCAGGCAAAACTGGCTGTTCGTCAAAATCAGCTACTTTGCAAGCAGTACTCGACTTCTCAAAAGGTACCTTTTGTCTCTTGTGCAAACTCAACAAAGGTTTATTTTTTATAATTCCAACATTTAAACGATATGTCTCAGGGACTCATTATAGTATTGTAGCGAATACAGTTCACGCAGGAAAATCAAAATACGGCCCCTCCCCACAGCCCGGTCTCACCTCCTGCTGTTCCAAAGCCGTATGGTTTCAAAGTATGTGTGAAATATCTTTTCTTACTCCATTTATTAATCCAATCTATTTTTACTCATCCGGCTATGTAAAAAATAAAAATATATAGTCAAAGGGATTGCTGTAAAGGTTAAATTCCAAGCTGAAAAGACAAGACTCGTCATGTCTTCTCTAACTCTTCAGTTCACAACTCGTCCATAGTCATTCATTATTAATATTGTAATGAACAGCCGGGATACAGATGGTACAAGCAGGTTGCAGCGCGACAGTACAGCCCTCTGCTCCCCTGCTCATAACAGGGCTGCTGGCCACTGGTGCTGAAAGAGGTCTTCTGTAGCTCAGCTTGCAAAAGCTCTGTTGAGCAACACAGGAGACCTGGGTTTGAGCCCATGCAGTGAAGGACGAACACAGGAGCAGCGAAGGGACAAGCCCAAGAACCCGAATTTGTTACAAAATTATTAATAATATATTCCGTATTGCATTTAAATTGGAATATTTTTACGAATTGTTACACACCCCGATAGTCTAGGGGCATATGCAGTGCGACATTAAGGGAATTCCAGGCGTTTAGGAAGAAATCTTTGGTGTGGGGGAAAAGATAGTTGTAACGAATTATAATAGGTAAACAGAAGTGAAATATGTACAATGTAGACACAGGGAATAGGTACAAAAGTGCGCAGAGGTTGATATAACTTGTTTGGGCAAGGTAATGGTGAAATAAAGGATAATACAAACAAACGAAAGTAGAAGGATGAGACGAACACAAACCAACAAAGCTGAAGCTATATGGAAACATACACACGAAGCGAAACTGATGAAAATGAGGAGAGATGAAGCCGAAGCCGAAGCAAAACATAAGTGAAAAAGCCGAAGCTGAGCCGAGCAGAACCGAAGTAGAGCGAAAGGCACCCTATGTTCTGAAAACATCCAAGTTAAATACCGAAGAAGTTGAGTTCTAATTGGACGAGAAGCTGATTACGAATGACGTATTATAGAAAGGTGGATGAATTAATGAACCAATGGGGAGGGAGGACAACCAAAGTCACGAACTGTGGAAAATGGAAACAAAACACACATATATAAGAGGCGATACACAACTTGTAAAAATAGCCCTTTTCCCTCCTTTAACTTAAAGAATTCCGTGAAGAAATCCTAAATCACTAAACCATTTCTTATAATAATTCATCCAGATACACACACACCGTAGCCAACAATAAGCTTTAAAAGTGAACTATTTTTATATATTCAGCTATGTAAGAAACAAAGTAATTCTCTGATTAGGCTTTGAACTGCTTTGGTGCAGCGCACTACATGCCTATTAAGGACAATAATATTTTTTAAAAA